AATCAGAATTTGAGCAAGGAAACAAGCTCAACTCTGTTTTCCAAATATGAAAGTTTTTCATCCAGGGAATTCTCCCCCTACATTGCCAATAGAAAGACTGTCAGAGGTGCTGAGAGTCAGGGAGGCTGCACCAGTGTCCTCTGATGCCACAGCACATTGGCTGGCTCTCCAGGCCCTGCCCTAAAGCGGGCTGAGCCGTCAGCTGGGACTCTCCCCATGCTGCTTTGCTTCTCATTCCTCCTTGGCAAGCTTCCCTCTCCCCTCACTTTCACTTCCTGGAATTGCTCTTCCCAACAAAGTCGTAGCAGTGAAGCCTCATCTCATGGTCCATTTTAGAGACAACTTTAGCCTAGGCAAGCATCAGTTGGTAATTGGTTATGTATCAGCTGTTTGACATAACAGGTTCATTTAAAAAGAACTTGAGTTTGTTTTTTAGAGTGAGAGAGGTAAGCCCCAGACATTTCTGCTCCCTACAGCCTCTAAGTCCATGCCTTTCCTTATTAGCAATGGAGGGCCACTCTGTTGTAATTTTTTTTGAGGAAGATTAGCCCTGAGCTAACATCTGCTCCCAATCCTCCTCTTTTTGGCTGAGGAAGACTGGCCCTGAGCTAACATCTGTACCAATCTTCCTCTACTTTATATGTGGGATGCCTGCCACAGCATGGTTTGCCAAGCGGTGCCATGTCCGCACCCAGGATCTGAATGGGCGAACCCCCAGGCCACCGAAGCAGAAGGTACAAACTTAACGACTGCGCCACCGGGCTGGCCCCCCATTATAATATTTTGATAACCGTTTTTCTTTCCATGAGTCATATGTAGACATAAGATGCTAAACTTACCCTCTTTCATTTTCCATAAAACAATCCCACTTGAAAAAGGAAACCAGAGCTATTCTGGAGATAGGGCCTATCAGAGAGAAAAAAGGTGTTCTCTTACTCTGTCTACTCTGGAACCTTGCACACAAGTTCTCTTCCTAAACTTGCAGGCATATATCATAATCCAGACATTTTTCCCATACAATTTATTACCCTAACATATTCTGGCTTGAAATATTATAATGAAAACTTGGGAACAAGTTGTTTGAATGTGTTCGACATTTGTTATACTGGGTTTTTTTTCTTTGCGGTAAAATGAATAGAAGCTGAACTTCATATTTTCAGATATGATTATGTTTTGAAAACAAGTTATTAATATCCATAAGATACAAAATTTTATTCTTTTTTATAACACTCAAAGCGTAATTAGGCACAGTTCTAAATTGGAGTTCAAATCAAAATTTATTGAGATCTTTCTAGAAAACACTCAATGTTTTTAGACAGAGGATTATAAAATGGTGAATATACAGGTATATGGATAAAATGATATCTGGTGATTGTCTAAATTGTTACTTGTAATATCCTCTCTTGGAATAGCTGCCAAATACTTTAGTAAGCTTAAAAATCTATTAATATCATGGAGTTGACAAATTTAGATCACATAATCATATTCAGAAAAATGTATTAGAGTTAGAGAATAACTATTGAAATAAACATACACTTTAAAAAATTTATTGTTTGCATAGGTCTAATTTTTCACAACAATCAAGTAATAGACTCTTGTTTCTTCTATACTCCACCCATTTCTTCCCACCCAAACCTGGATCATTTCAAACCAAATACCTAGATATCTTATTTGATTTTTAAATATTCAATTATTTAATTTCTAAAAGTTAAGGACTCTTTTTTTAAGCAAAACTCTAATATATTATCATACTCAAAAAATAAACATAACTCTTTATTAAATATACAGTCACTGTTCACATTTCTTTCTCATATTTGCTTAAATCAGGATCCAAAGAAGAATAAAATAACGTTCTTAAGTTGCAATTTTCTGATGCTCTCTCCAGGCCTTGATATAGAGATTTCCTTAAACCTTTCTTTTCCTTGCAATTTACCTGTTGAACTAGCTGTGTTATTTGTCCTGTGTCGTCTCCCACAGTCAGAAATTTGTTGATTGCATCTAATGATATGAACACATTCTTCAGCCCCTTATATTTGCTGTAAACTGTCAGATTAGTGATAGTTAGATGTGAGTCAAATTCAAATGTTTGGCAAGGATATCTTATAGGTGGCAATGTGTACTTCCGATGGGGGCACAAAATGTGGTTATATCTCTTCATGTCACCTTAGCAGCCACTGATGATCATTGGCTAGATTCCTTCCCTAATTCTACCTTTCCTTCCTTAGCTAGATTACATCTATAAAGAAGAACTTGTACTCATCAACTATTTGTGTACCCTAAGGTACAGTTCATACAGGAAAGGCAATACATGCTTGATGGTTTTCCTGAGACTACATTTCTCCTAGTCAATTCTGGTTCTAAATTCTTTCATGAAATAACCTATTTCCTGCTATGCTTTTCTTGTCCTACAACATCCTATTCTGACCACTGTGTAGCAAACTTTGGTGAAGATTTAGGGACAACAGGTTATGTGTGAGGGGCAGGACGGGACGGTGAAATTTTATTGCAGCACGGGACTGGATAGAAAATAGGAAACTGAATATCAGTTATCCCTGTTCTTAAAGAATTTTGGCTCCTTATGTTGTGGGAATCATCACAAGCGTAAGCCTACCTTTTATACTGCCGCTTCATCCTCGTTGGTTCTTAATATGCGCAGGTGATTCATCAGTGTTTTGATAAAGACAGTTCTCACCTGTGCTTTAACTAATATTGTTTGTTTGTTTTCCCTCTGGGTAAACTTTTGTAATATATAAGATGTAATGGCCCCATAGAGCATAGAAGGTTTGTGAATAAATTTCTTTGATGGATTTCAGCAATCAAATTATGAGAATTTTGTTTACTAGGAATAGACTCTTGACTAGGTCTTAAAGAAATTGACTGGGTATAGTCAAGGACACAATAGAATGTCCTGTTTCTCAGTTACTGAAGTCTATAGATGATTCAATTAAAGAAAACATCTTGAATGCCGAAACTCTTGGAGAAACTCAGGGTGGTGGTTAAGAGCACAGTCAGGAGCCACTTCTGCCAATTTGACTTTAAGTAAATTACTAAACCTCTCTGAGCCCAAGTTTCCTTGGGAAGATGTGGCTATGGATAATCTGCCTCATAGGAGTTCTGTGAACTGTTTCCACTTCATGTAATGTAATACGGTTATTTAAGATCTGTTGATGCAAATAATCCATAATCAATCTATAAATCAAAATTGGGGTGAGTTTATTATGAGCCAGGTTTGAAGTCTATAGCCCAGGGCCTTCCTTCCCTAAAGAAGGAAGGGCACCAAAGAAGTGGGGTGTACAGAGTGGTTATATACCATCTTGGAACAAAGAGCATGCATCACATATGACAGGAATATCTCTTTTACTACTGTCATGAGATGCTTAGCTGGCACAGCAGGTCGGTGGTCAGTGGTCACAAGGTGAGCACAACAGATCAGTAATTATTCCTTAGTTTCCGGAAAGAGATGCTTGTCCTTAAAGAAATGCCAGTATGGGGGGAAGTTACATCCCTATATTAAAGGGGATCATTCTTGGCTTTGGGACATAGTAAATGTTTAAAGCAGATGTACCATGCATGCTCAACAGGCCACATCGTGCCCTTTTGGAAAAACAAGGTCAGACAGACCAAATTAGTTTTAAACCAAATGGCTTCCTCATATACTCCAATATATCCTATTGCTTTTCAGATATTTATCAGATTTTTACAGTAGTTATGATAATTTATTAATATTAATGTATTTTTATTTTAATCAAATCAATACTCTCATTCTTGAGAGAACACTTAAGAAGCCAAGCAGTCATATTTGTGAAAGCAATACATATATTCCTTTAGTGAGTAAAGCTTTCTGAAAGTATAGGCCTATTCTTGTGACGTGTTGATGGTTATTGAACATCCTGAGGTTCATCTTTGATTTTTCATCCTCCATCTTATTCCATTTTTTCTCTCTTGCTTCCTTTTATCTATATGTCTTTATTCTTGTAGCTTACTTTTCGTCTCCTCACTTATTTGATCTCTCTTGTAATATTATATTTGCATTTCCTTTATGGTTTCACAAACTCTTGCCCACAAGTAAGCCAATTTTATAATTCTTTTAAACTTTTGTTTAAGATAATTTCTCAAGAATATATAAAGTATAGTAGTTACATAAATGAGTGCAATTTTTATGCCTTATATTTAGTTCAAAATAAGTGATACATACTTCATAAACAGTAGAAATTAAAAAGTGCAGTTTTAAAAGGACTAGATAAATGCATGCTCAGAAAGCATATACTTTTTTAAACAAGTGGTTATTTTATACTTGCAACCTGAGTGAATCAATATTTAAATTAACAGAGATAGATTTCACTTGATCCCAATATATGATCAATCTAGCCAATGAATTCACAAGGAACATCCAACGTTACTTGGCTAAACTGTGAAGGATGTACATAAACATGCCCAAATACACGCACATACGTATCTAGTAACATTCGCTAGTCTTATTTATACAGTAGCACCTCGTTTCTGATAATCAAATGACAGTTCTGTCACATTTATTTGTTCAGTCTACATAAAATCTTCTAACAAACTAGGTTAGAAAAATAAATCTCTACTTGTCAGTTAAACAGGAAGTTTACCTTATTTTCCTCATACTTAATGGTCACTAAAAGTTATCTAAATAGTAAGAGAGGGTTAATGATGTCATTGGCTCTGCCTAGTTAAAAGAGTTATTGCTACCACATCCTGTGAAAAACATCTTTGTCCTACAACTTTGGACTATTTCCTGGGTAGTGAATTACTTGGGGAAAAAATTCATATGTTTTTAGGGTTAATAACACATGCCACCACAATGTTTTCCCAAAGGCATTGTATGGTTGAGAGCGCCAGCAGTAATATTAAGGAGTGCTATTTTTACAGCATCCCCGCCGGCGTTATATATAAGAAGTTTTCAAAATACATTTGATTTTAAAAAGTGAGAAATGGTGCCCATGATATTCTTTTTGTGCTTTCCATTTAAATATTAGAGTGAAGAAGGAGCCGCACAGGAAGGAATTCTGGAAGATATGCCTGTGGATCCTGACAATGAGGCTTATGAAATGCCTTCTGAGGTAAAAGTTTATATACGTAAAACTGTGAGAATAAAGTTTAGGACTTCAAGTTGGGTCTTTCTTATAAGCAGTACCAAAAATCTGTCACTGACAGATTTCTCTTATGTTTATCCTCAGAATGATTTTCTCTCTAGATGCACAAGTTGGCCAAATCCAGGACATGGATTGGGTGGACAACTTACAAACTAAGAAGAGTTTTTACATCTGTAAAGTGTTGGCGGGGGGCGGGGAAGCAGCAGCAACAGAGACCAGATGTGGCCCACACAGCCTGAAATGTTTACTGCCTGGCCCTTTACAGAAAGTTTGCCGATCCCCGCATAGAGAATTATCTTATTAGATCCTTATATTATAAAATAAATTCTCAAATGGAAGGTTGGAGAAATCAACTGAATGACAAAAGAAAGCTATTGTTATTTGCCATACATTTCCAGTGGGATATTTGCATAGTAAAATAAAAGTTACCAAAATTATACAGTAGAAAGAGGATAAATGCTTGGTTTGCAACAATTGATATATTTCAGTCTAGTGTTTTAAACAGCATAATTTGACAATTTTATTTTAATTTGAATAAAAGTTTCTTTAATAGAAAATGTGTCACAAGGGAAATTAGAAAATGCTTCTAAGTGAATGAAACTGACTCAAGACAAAATAGAAAATCTGAATAGGCCTATAACAAGACTGAATTATTGTTTAAAAAAAACCTACCCAGGGGCCAGCCACGTGGCTGAGTGGTTAAGTTTGCGCGCTCCGCCACAGCGGCCCAGGGTTTCGCTGGTTTAGATCCTGGGCACGGACATGACACCGCTCATCAGGCCAAGTTGAGGCAGTGTCCCACATGCCACAACTAGAAGGACCTGCAACTAAGATACACAACTATGTACTGGGGGGATTTGGGGAGATAAAGCATTAAAAAAAAAAAAAAAAGATTGGCAATAGTTGTTAGCTCAGGTGCCAATCTTAAGGAAAAAAACCAAACACTTAGCGAATAATTAATACCTATTAATTACAATTAATACCAATTAATTCCTCTTCCAAAAGTAGACAAGGAGGAAGCACTCCCCAACTAATTCTATGAGGACAATATTACCCTGATACAAAAACCAGATAGCACAGGCAAAGAAAATGTATTATTACTTCATTAAAAATCAAAGTGTGTTGTAGAGTTAGGTTGTGTATTCTTTATGGCATCGTTAAAAGGCAAATTGAGGGGCTGGCCCCATGGCCCAGTGGTTAAGTTCGCATGCTCTGCTTTGGCAGCCTGGGGTTTGCTGGTTTGGATCCTGGGCATGGACCTACATACAGCTTATCAAGCCATGCCGAGGTGGCATCCCACATAGAAGAACTCGAATGACTTACAATTAGGATATGCAACTATGTACTGGAGCTTTGGAGAGGAAAAAAACAAAAAAGAGGAAGATTGGCAACAGATGCTATCTCAGGGCCAATCTTCCTCACCAAAAAGCATACCTTAAAAAAAAATAGATTGGCCCTCAATTTATTTTTTAAAAAAGGCACATTGATAATAATCTCATTTATAGAAATTGAGATTAAGTTGTTTCTTTACCAAATTAGATTTTCCCAATATTTTTGGGTCTTTTTAGGCAGGGCACAATGCTAAACACTATAGAAAATACGAGAAGAGTAATTGATAGTACCAGGACACAAGGAGTTTGCAATCTGGTAGGTTTGATAAAAACAAATACAAATTTATTCCTTTATTTATCCATCATGATTCCTTTAGCAAACATTATTGACTATCTTCTATGTACCAGATATCACAGGCACAAAAATAGAAGATATACAAAAAAGTATAGTATTTTACAGGATCTGTTTATATCTGTTGAGAAGCTCTATAGAAGAGGTGGTGTTGATCTGAGTGGGAGGGATGGGAGTTAGGAGAGGCCAAACTGAAGAGAGCGCATTCTAGCACAAGGGAGTATCAGAAGTGAAGGCGCGCACATCTGAGAATGCAGAAGGAGGTGTCTGAGGAACAGTGAGTAATTCAATAGGATTCAAGCTTAGGGAACAGAGAAGAGTGACAGATTAAGGCCACAGAGATGGGTCAAAGACAACTGGTAGAGTACTAGAACAACCTTGCCATTTAAGTTTGTACTTTACTCAGAAAGTAACTTGAGTTATTGAAGGTATGTTTGTTTTTAAGCAGGATCCTGATATCATTCTACTTGTTCTTTAACAGGGCCAATCTGACCACTGTACTTAAGGCCATTCATATTTTTATTGTAGATGTTACCCATATATTGTATGGGGCTGGGCTTTGGAATAGAAGGAACAATTGAAGCCATGAATGAAGAAGAAATTTCCACTGGGAGAGTGAAAGGAGAGAAAATGTAACTTGCCTTTAAATGTCTTCATTTCCTTCTAAGAATTAGAGCATCTTAGCCCTAGAAGAGGCCTTTTAGGCCACTTGATCTGGCTCTCACAATGTACGGTTGAGGGAACTGAGAGCAAGATAGAGCAATTAATTTGTCCTACAGGACTACATCATACAATTGATAAATGGCACATCTGCAAGGAGAATTCAGACACCCTAACTCTGACCACCAGCAAAATTCGCTTTTATATTTGACAGGAAGACAAAACTATTAAAAGTAAAATTATATTGTGTGTAGCAGAATACTCCCAGAACTGCTGAGTATAACCTTTATTCAAAGTGGTGGGCCATGTCCTATCTCGTTTGCCCTAAATCCTTGACTCCTGATGACTTGCACTAACGCTGGATGTTGTCTTTCTGATTTTCCTCATATTAGGAAGGGTATCAAGACTATGAACCCGAAGCCTAAGAAATATCTTTGCTCCCACTTCCCTGAGATCTGCTGACAGATGTTCCATCCTGTACGAGTGCTCAGTTCCAACATGCCCAGTCATGACATGCTCCCAAAGTTTCTACAGTGTATTCTGAACTCTTCCATCAGCAGTGATTGAAGTGTCTGTACCTGCCCCTACTCAGCATTTAGGTGCTTCCCTCCCACTGAAGTGAATATATGGCAGCAGGGTCCTTGTGCGCTGTGTGGATATTGTGGCTTCAAATCTAAAATATTAAAACAAATTTAAAACACCTAAGTGACTACCACTTATTTCTAAATCTTCACTATTTTTTTGTTGCTGTTGTTAAGAAATTGTGATTTACTCTCATATGTGAGATTTCTAGGTGTCTTTTAATGATTCTAAGAAGAATGATGTGTTGTGAAATTTGTTAATATATACAATGCTTAAACACATGTGAGCATGAACTATGCACCTATAAATATTAACTAGGAAATTTTACTGTTTTGTGATGTGTTTTATTAACTTGTATTTGTATATAAATGGTGAAAATTAAAATGTGATCTCATGACAAAAACCCTATTTTTTAATCCCATCTCACTTTAATAATAAAATCATGTTTATAAGCAACATGAAATGAGAACTGACACAATTAACTTAAATATAAAGTTCTTGACAGCCATTTGAAAGAGGAGGAATTTTAGAGGCGTTAAACATGTGGGATGGAACATTAACCCTTTGCTCTGGGAATTCCCTGAAGCAACAGTGCCCAGAGTATGTTTTGAGGCGCACTGGGGCCTGTAGAGGCTACTGAAAAAGTGGGTGCCATGGGATGCTGAGTATAAGAAATGATTTTGACTACATCTCCTTTACATATTCATAAGACGCATTAGCACATTAAAGGCTCTGAGGGAACCTGGTTAAATTTGTTTAACCCAGAATTCCCAGAATTTCCTTTTTGTTTTTTTTTTTTCAATCAGAAATCCGTTTTTTTCACACAGGAAATACCTTTCGACGTCTCTGGGAACTACCAGAGAATCACCTTAAGAAGTGTCAGTTCTCCAGATTTATAAAAATTTCATGGACTCCTTTAAATTCTGCTAAAAATATAAATTTCAGGATCCTTCTTTAGGACAGGTTTTTCTCTTTAGGGAAGATCCATTAACTCCCCATGGCGGCTGACAATAAACTTGACTATGAAACCCTATATAAATTAATTGAAAAATTATTTGGTTTGTCTTTTTAATTATTCAGGAGAAAAACGGCAGTCATTTTTAAAGTCACCAGTAGAAAGTATAATTTTAAGAAAGAACATTCTAGAAGTGCTAGGCAGTTTACATGTAATCGTGAGTAATTTGATGTATATTGAGCATTGGCAAGGAAGGAAGGAGGAATGAGTATAAGCACTATAAGCATGGTCACCATAGACACTTCCTGTTTTGCCTAATTGGGAAGACTATGACACGTGTTAAGCTGCCTGTGTAGTCTTAAATTGGAGAGAAGTAGTAAGTCTCTTGTTTCGTTTAGGTACATTAATAAGTGTTCCTAATTAGGAAAATAACATGGAAAATTAAAATATCTTTGTACAAAAAGCCTTGTAGTACTATATATGCATAGAAAATACCATGGGAAGAGAAACACCAGGAGTAGTTATCTTGTGCCAAGCCCTTGAAAAGCTGTGTAAGGCACCCAAGCCTTTTCAGGAAGCTTGTCTCCATCCACTGCTGAGACATCCACCTGACAAGTGGCCTGAGGGTCAGTCTGGCCCTAGCTTTATTTTGCAGACATCACTCCCCCAAGTCTGAGTTATTCAGCATCATCTGACTCCATGGTGCTTTAACAAAACCGGCTGGGGTGGGCTTTGGCATGCAATTGGCAGCACAACAGTCTAATATGTGGTTTGGCATTCCAAGTTGGATCTTTTTCAAAATCTCCCCACCAGCGTGAGATGCAAATGTTTCCTCATCCTTCTGGCTCATCCAGTAGGTAACTAGTGGATTAAAAACACACACACCCATCTCAAGGACAACCATTAATTCTCAGAGATAATGCCGTCTACATCCATACTGAGGAATACAAACATTTTTCTAACCGCAAACTTGATAGACTCCTCTGTCCACCCACTGATGGCTCTGTTTTTCTCTGGGATGGGTTCATCCCAGTATGTTCTTTCTGTCTTGGGCAGGACTGCAACAGGGATGGCATTTCCCTGTGTGTTCTCCCTGGAACTGGAAATACTTTTTTTGTTACTATGTGTCAAGAATAGATGTAAGTGATTTATCAATATTATCTCATTTAATTCTCAAAACAGTCCTAAGACATTCCATTGTTATCCTTATTTTATACATGAGAAAGCTGAGGCACCGGCAGGCTAAGTCACTTTCTCATAGCCACACAGCTAGTAAGTGGCAGAGCCACATTGACTGGCGGAGTCCCAATCAATATATGACCACCGTCTGCTCTCTCAGCCCCTGGGCCATGTTGTCTCTCAGGGAGAGGACATACAACCATGTAAGAGAACTCTCCAGAAGTCTAGGGAATGAGGTAGTGGCCTCTCTTTTCTATATATAACTACAAGTATATTTCTATTTTTCTTTAGATGTCTATGTCTGGAATAAGTGGTACTTATATATATGGAAATATATTTCTAATTTTAGGAGAAATTAGTCTGCCACTGATTCCTTATTGATGTTTTCTCATAACAAAACTATGCATATCCTGATGATGGAACTGTTATTTTCAGTAGAAGGAAAAAAAATTAATGTAATAACATTACATAAGGCAACAGTAAGGCAAACTTTGTCATATTTTCTGTTGAATCATGGGCACTTGCCTTCTGTCAAATAGCCTATATATATAACATATGTATGTATATATTTTATATGTATATATAATAAAGTATAACTAGGATTTTCAATTATACATATTTAGTAATGCAGTGACAATTTATAAATGAATAAATTGGAAAAGCCATGAATTAAGAATTTATATTTTTAGGGACTTACCCAGTGGTGTAGCGGTTAAGTCCATGCCATCCACTTCAGTGGCCTGGGGTTCGTAGGTTCAGATCCTGGTCACAGACCTAGCACGATTTGTCAAGCCATACTGTGGCTGCATCCCACATAAAACAGAGGAAAATTGGCACAGATGTTAGCTCAGGGCCAATCTTCCTCACACACACAAAAAAGAATTTATATTTTTAAATAACACGTTAACATTTTATAATAAGCTTTGATTTTCTGGGAGTATTTTTTTTGGTACAGTAATGCTATTTTTTATCCTTAAAGTAAGCCTAGATCTGAAGAATCCAAATGCAATAGAATAGATATAACACTAAAACTATTTCAAATATTATTTTAGTTCCAATATCTCTTATATATCTAAGATTTCCTTTAATTTTTCTTTGCTGCTACAACAGTATCTTTGATTATTTTAAATCCAGTAGCACTGATGGTATATTGGAAGCAGTTAAAAAACCCTCCCTTCAAAAAGCCTGAGTTTGTGGGGCTGGCCCAGTGGTGTAGTGGTTGGCTTCACATGCTCCACTTCGGCTGCCCAGCGTTTGCGATTTTTGATCCTGGGCATGGACCTATAGACCACTCATCAAACCATACTATGGCAGCGTCCGACATGAAAAATAAAGGAAGATTGGCACAGATGTTAGCTCAACGACAATCTTCCTCAAGCAAAAAGATAAAGACTGGCAACAGATTTTAGCTCAGGGCCCATCTTCCTCACACACACACAAAAAGAGCCTGAGTTTAAGCCTCTAAGTTTTGCTACAATAGACTTCTAAAGTCAGGCAGGATCGCATAGGGGATTTCCAAAGTTGATCCTGCAGCTATATGTACTGGGATAGCTTCTCTTATGAACCTTATGAAAATGTATCCTCAGATTCCCTTAAAGGTCAGTGACCAGAAATTCCCACTGTTTCTATGGCAACACAGCAAGCTATGGTGCCTTGGAAATGTGCTGCATTTTAATTAGGTTCCTCTCGGGCTTCCTAACTGCCTTTTGCAGGTAAACTAAATATCAGGTTGCCTTATATCTTGCAGTGAGATGAAAGCTAACCCGTGTCTGCAAATGTCAAAGCTAAGCTGGGCTCCAGTAAAGTCAAATATAAGCAAATAATAGTAGCAAGTCCTTGTGTTTATCTTAGAAAAGAATACAACACTCTTTACCTAGGAAGTCAGGGATGCATGATTAATTAGGCTGGCAGGAGTGCTAGTGAGGAACCTGGATGCTAAACTAGACTATGTAGGTTTCACTCCCGGTTATGTCTCTTTCTACCTTACTTTGAGCGAGTTACTTAATCTCTTGGTGCCTCTGTTACCTTATTTATAAAAATGCAAATGATGATAATAGTACCTCATAGCATTGTTGTATGGATTAAATAATTTAATATAAGTAAAATGCTTAGGTCTATTCCTGGCCCATAGTAAGTGACCAATGAATCAATGATGCTATCAGTGGTAGTAGTACCAGCAGTGGTAGTAGTAGGAGTAGTAGAGTACACTGTATTTTTAAAGGTAAGTAAGAAATAACAGGGGGTTGGCCCCATGGCCAAGTGATTAAGTTCCGTGCTCCTCTTCAGTGGCCCAGGGTTTCACCAGTTCCGATCCTGGGTGCGGACCTGGCACCACTCGTCAAGCCATGCCGAGGTGGCATCCACATGCCACAACTAGAAGGACCCACAACTGAAATATACAACTATGTATGTGGGGGCTTTGAGAGAAGAAAAAGAAGAAGAAGAAAAAAGAAGATTGGCAACAGATGTTAGCTCAGGTGACAATCTTTAAAAAAAAAACAAATATTTAAAATATTCAGATATATTCATTTATATCTTCTCTTAATATAAAACAGTAATAATAGCCAAAGCAATCCTGAGAAAGAAGAACAAAGCTAGAGGCTTCACACTTCCTGATTTCAAACTATATTACAAATCTATAGTAATCAAATCAACATGATATAAAAACAGACACATAGATCAATAGAACAGAACAGAGAGCCCAGAAATAAATCCATGCATACATGGTCAATTAATTTACAATACAGGAGCCAAGAACATGCAATGAGGAAAGGACAGTCTCTTTAATAGATGATGTTGGGAAAACTAGACAGTCACATGCAAAAGAAGGAAACCAGACTTCTATCTTATACCACATACAAAAATTAACTCAGAATGGATTAAAAACCTGAGAATGAGACCTGAAACCATAAAATTCCTAGAAGAAAACAGGAAGTAATCTCTTTGACATTGGCTTGGTGATGATTTTTTGGATCTGACAACAAAAGTAAAAATAAACAAGTGGTACTACATCAAACGAAAAACCTTTTGTGTAGCAAAGGAAATCATCAACAAAATGAAAAGGCACCCTACTGAATGGGAGAAAATATTTGCAAATCCTATATTTGATAAAGTTTTGATATTCGAAATATATAAAGAACTCACATAACTCAGTAGGAAAAAACCAAACAATCCAATTGAAAAATGGGCAGATGACCTGAATAGACATTTTTCCAAAGAAGACATACGGATGCCCAACAGGTACATGAAACAGTACTCAACATCACTAATCATTAGGGAAATGTAAATCAAAACCATAATGAGATATCAGCTCACACCTGTTAGAATGGCTATTATCAAAAAGACAAGATATAACAAGTGTTGGTGAGGCTGTGGAGAAAAGGGAACGCTTGTGCATGGTTGGTGGGAATGTAAATTGATGAAGCCTCTATGGAAAACAGTATGGAGCTCCTCAAAATGTTAAAACTAGAACCACCACATGATACAGCAATTTCACTTATGGGTACTTATCTGAAGGAAAGGAAAACATTAACTCAAAAAGATATATATGCACCCCCACATTCATTGCAGCATTATTTATAATAGCCAAGACGTGGAAGCAACATAAGTGTACATCAATGGATGAATGGATAAAGAAAATGTGAGATATACACACACACACACACACACACACACACACACACACACATATAATGGAATATATATATGTGATGGAATATTATTCAGCCATAAAAATGAAAGAAATCTTGCCATTTGTGACAAATTGGATGGACCTTGAGGGCATTACTCTAAGTGAAATAAGTCAGACTGAGAAAGACACATACTGTCTGATCTCACATGTAGAGTCTAAAAAAAACAAGGGAACTCACAGATACAGAGAATAGATAGGTGGTTGCCAG